GCCATACAAAGCAGTGTGCAGAAGTTGACAGTGGAGAGATCTGTATTGTTTACATACAGGTCTCTCCCCCATCGGAAATCCTCAGAAATCGCTGGGTGCTGGCGGGGAATCACTGGGCGCGACCCGGTGATTGACAGCCGAGGGCGCAAACGGCGGCATGGGTAGGGCTCGCGGGCACCCCTGAACTGCAAAATTACGTATGTATCCATGATTTTGCGCACCGGTGCCACCCTGTAGCAGTATTTCTGCTATAGGGTGGCACGAAAGCAGTTAACTTAATCAACAAAAACAAAAAGAAAAAAAAGAAGAGAGAGAGAGAAAAAAAAAGGAAGGCGTCCAAGAAGTGATATCTACCCACCATCACCTATATGGTGACATAAGTATTGTCTAATGTATCTTTAATTCTGACAGACTAGACTAGCCAAGCATAACTTCAAATACGAAAATACCAGAGCTTATTATCTCATAAAAAGCAGTAGTGGACATGGAGAGCCCAGGAACACCATATTTCCCTAAACCTGGCATATTTGTCATTTGTTATAGCTAATAATTCCTCCACCAATTCCCTTATTGTGGGCATTGTTGAGGATTTCCAATGTTTGGGTATCAGGGCCCTTCCTGCTAATAGCAAATCTAAATACTCCTTTTTTAATAGATTTGAATGACCCGTGAATTATTGAAAAAAGCGCTACCTCTGGAATCTCAGGCCAGATCCTACCTGTAACCAAATGGCTTAGCTGAAATATGGCTAACCAAACAGGTATAATCGCTGGACAGGACCACCAGGGATCATAAAATATTATTGCAGAAATTCTACCAAGCAAGTTAAGGAGAACAGGAATACCCCTTTTGTAGGAATGTGAATCTCCACTCTTAAATCAATAAAATAGTACACTTTTCAGTGATGGGTGATTATGTTGTTAATCTCTCAAAGCAGAAATGTTCCCACCACTGTAAGGCTGTAATGTCACTGTGAAGGTTTCCTGTTTTTACTGGAGGCCGATAAATGACTGGGAGTGTAGAACTGTTACATTTTTTTACGTTAATGCATTCTCTGTTATTAGGATTCCCCCCAGTCCCTCCTTATACAGTATTTATACATTTAAAAAGGCTTATACAAAGGTATACATCACCCATAGCGGGGAGATTTCAGAGAGCTGGGATAGGTCACCGACTCACCATAAATTTAAGTGGGGTCATGTCATGAGTTGGGGACTAAAGTAGGCCACCTAGAAAGAGGCTTAAAGGAGAACCAACCATGGTGTAACCAAACCAACAACTTTATTGAGATCAAAATTGAGGAAAATTAGGCCAAGTGGCGAACAATCCTCCAATCACCCGTTAAAATAAGGTTAGATAACATTATCAACTTAAAATACAAACCTGGGAACCGCACATCCACTCACATCCACTGCTTTGCATTAACTCGGTCTCATAGAAAGCATATCATATCAGGCCAGCGGTCTCAAGACCGGCAGTCAGTGTGTACTGGTAAGCGGTAAGTGGACTTGACACGCTACCCAATCAACTAACACTCAGAGAGTGGTACAGTGATTCCTGTCTGAGAATGGTGGCCCGTTCAGTGGAACAGCAACAACATCAAAAGCACAAGACATATGCATCCAAAACCTGATGTATAGTGATACATAGCCACAACAGGGCCAGGTTCGGAAATATTAGCATATAGAAGTCCATATAAAGCAACAGGACTTCAATGAGGGTTATGTACACCTGTTCATATGGGGTGGTGGACTGACATGATGGAATGCTGATGGTAGATAGGGCAGGCTGAAGAAGCCCACAATATGGGCGTGATAGTCAATGGTGAGCTGTATGATGAATGCACCAGTGTGTCCAGATGCAGCCAATGCTCTAAGCATATGTAGCTGTGAGTCATGTACAGTCAATTATACACCAGAATGGTAATTAGAAGTCTCCTGCAGGGTATGAGTATAATACGACCCTTACAGTAGAGTGCAGCCAATGACAATATGATCAGGTCTAGTGATAATGATTTGCACAAATGGCGACAGCTGCCACATAAAGTGTGCCCGCAGGCTCTCATCACTCCGGCGTATAGATCAACCACTCCTCGATGATGTCCGGTCCTCCACTTAGGGGATATGAAGAGTTTGAAGGAAGTTGTAATACTTCTACCGGTCTGTGCCTTCCGTTAACAGTCTCTGTTAGCAAGCCAAAACTTCCAAAATGTCGTGCTGACAACAGGTAGCTCTATTAGGAGATCCATGTGTTGTTAGTGAGCGGGGATTTCTGCCATATGGTATCCTAGCATTGGGCAGCTAAGGACATCACCGCCAGTGGGAGTGGGGCCCGTGGCTCGTTGACGCTGCCCACGTCAATGTATTTCGCCCACGTGACTGTGAGCTTCATCAGGACGTCGGGATGTACACACCACCAGCCTCTTAAAGGGACTGACGGCCCTTTCAGCCAACTGTAGTGGCTGGGGGCCGTCCCACATTTAAAAGAACAGCAGTCATAAAATATACAAATAAGTGTTAAAAAAGGGAAGGCAAACTAAGTGACATTTGGATTCTGCATATCTCACTCATAGACTGATTACAGAGCCTAAGTACACCATTCATTCAATGTCACGTTGGGTTCAAAGCTGGACACAAAAGTATGTGGCATTAGTAAAGGTATTTTTTCGGGTAATATAGGAGCACTTTAGAATCTGACTTATTAAGGGGGAGCGGTAGAGGAAAGCAAAAGCATTATAACTTTAATAATAAACTCCTAGTGAAGAGATAAAAGAAGGGGAAAAAAATTAAAAAAAAAAGGGGGGAGAAAAGAAAAAGATAGAAAAGAGGAAAAAGGAAAATAAAAAAGAGAAGACAAAGGGGAAAGCCACAGGAGTTTATGGTTCATTAAACACTTTTAAGCTCATTTCGTTATTGAATCATAGTTTGGAGTTTAAAAAAATCCAACGCCTTTCTTTTCTCAATAACACCGTATTGAAATCCCCTCTTCTATGGAATAGTTTAAGGGCTTAAAAGCCTTTAACTCTCAAACCTGTTGTTTGACCACCATGAAATTCAACAAAATGTTGGGCTAATGGTGTATCTTCATTTAGCCTGATACTTTTAAGGTGTTCACCCACCCTGATGCGAAGTTGACGTTTAGTGTTGCCCACGTAATATGTAATTGACTGTACATGACTCACAGATACATATGCTTAGGGCATTGGACACACTGGTGTAATCATCATACAGCTCACCATTGACTATCAAGCCCAGGTTGTGGACTTCTTCAGTCTGCCCTATCTATCATCATCATTCCATCATGTCAGTCCACCACCCCATATGAACAGGAGTACATAACCCTCATTGATGTCCTGTTGCTTTATATGGACTTCTATATGCTAATATTGCCAAACCTGGTTCTATTGTGGCTATGTATCACTATACATCAGGTTTTGGATGCATATGTCTTGTGCTTTTGATGTTGTTGCTGTTCCACTGAATGGGCCACCATTCTCAGACAGGAGTCACTTTACCACTCTCTGAGTGTTAGTTAGTGATTGGGTAGCGTGTCAAGTCCACATACCGCTTACCAGTACACACTGACTGCCGGTCTTGAGACCGCTGGCCTGATATGATATGCTCTCTATGAGACCGAGTTAATGAGATGGTAAACTACAGTAAGGTTTTTTCATTATCTATGTTTTCTTCCTGCCATAGAGGCACAATGGGGAGTGAGATTGGGGGTAGAGGAAATCTGTCCAAGGTTAGAGTAAATGCCTTCTTAGTTATCACTGTAACATGTATCTTCATTGGAAGATTTCTCTTCTAGCCTTGTTCTGGCAACCATGAAATGTTGGATTTCCTATCACTTTCTGTTCTGATGACAATTGTAACAGTTTTAAATTTGCATCACTTTATGCCATGGTGACAATGGTCATTAGAACAAACAGGTTAAATCTTCCCAAAGCAATCATAAGCAGCAATAAACACCTGTTAGAAAAAACTTTAGCTCATCCCCATTCTTCACTAAACAAATAAAACATTTGGCACTTAAAGCATACCTAAACCCAAGAATAAAAATGTAATGTATTGCATCTTACCTTTCCTTAGTTGCTGAATTTGCTTTATTTTTTCCACACTTTTTTCTTCTTTATTTTCACCTAGTGATCCTGATAGGAACACACTTCCTGTCCTAGGATGACAACCTATCTAGGAGTATCTAGGAGTTGCAGGGTTGTCACCCTAGGAAGGGAGTGGGTTAGGACTATATAACATCTCCCACTCCTCATAACATAAGGGGTGGATTTGTAGTCAACAGAAATAGCTGAGAACAATACTAATTGACAATGGTCAGCAGATGAAGAGTGCTCACAGGATTTCTGGCTGAATGAAGAGCTTTTGTTTTTCCTAATTAAAATATAGCAAAAAAATGTATTTCGTACCTTCATTTTCAGTAGTTTTTGTTTTGTCTGGTATAAGTTGCAGGCAAGATGGGTAAGCTGAAATGAAAACATTGATTTTAACAAGAACAGTAAGCTCATTATGGTATAATGAAACATTAATAAATGCTATAGAATTTTTTTTTATGAGTGGCAGCAGTAACTGATATCAATAGCTATCAAATCTTTATTATTTACCATGTACTCATTTTTGTTACAAGTTAAATTTAATAACGTAGGTCGCATTTTCTACCTAGGAGCAGGCTGGCTCAAAGCATGCATGGGCACATACACTGTCACAAATTGCCATCGCTAATGCACTTTATTACATTACATAATGAGACATAGAGCTTACACATTAATGTCAGTGTATCAACTATCCATTATAACTCAACAACAGATTCTGTGCTTTGCTTTCTTTTAAATAAAACCACATTGACCTTCTTTGTTGCAAAAATAAGCCCTGGCCTTTCCTGACTAATTCAAAACTCTAATGAAAAGATTTCCAAATATCTTGCCACTATCATAAAAAATTAAGCTACTAACTTAAAAAAAGGTTTAAAGCAGAAGTTTAAAACTGATGGGCACTGATATGCAGCCATGATGGGCACTGATAGGTGGCACTGATGGGTACTAATAGGCAGTGCTGAGGAGGACTAATAGGCAGCACTGAAGGGCACTTATAGGTAGCACTGATGGACACTGATTGGCATTGATAGGCAGCACTGATGGGCACTGTTGTGGCTGCATTGATAATCAGTGCCCTGATTATCAGTGTAGATGTTCCCTTTCACACTTGACGTTTATTGGCAGTACTTTCCTCACGCTGTGACAGCCTGAGGAAAGTACTGCTGATAACCGGCAAGTGTGTTTACATCGTGATCAGCTCCAATTGGACACAGCTGATCATGTGGTAAAGGGCTGCTGTGATTGGCCCTCTACCATCCAAAGGACACAGTGATCACAGACAGGACAGCGCCGGGTGTATGCTGTGCAGGGGGGCACAGTTCTGGGGGGGACATCAATAAATACCCTCCCAGAACTGGACAACCGCGCTGCAGCCATCATATTGTTATAGCATGGTCAGCAAGTGGTTAATCTGCTTATATTTTGCCTTTCCCAGTTCCTGACCTTTCCCTCCTCATCAACATGTAAAATTAAATTTTAAAGAAAAGCTTTCAGTTTTTGTTACATATCTTATTTTAGGACCTGTGAAGTCATCACTGAATCGCTATGCTTCTCTATGCAATGCAGGCAGATCATGGCTGGTAGGAGGGGCCAGCAGGGTGCTGTACATAGTTTCTTGAAAACATTACAGCACACTACTTTCCCCAAAACCATCAGCCCTGATACATGAAGTTGGCTGTCTCTTGATAGGAGTTATGCAAATATGAAAATGCATTGATGGGTGGATGTCAGTCTGAAAGAGTGGGTGTGTCTAGAAGGGCTGTTTTGCATACAGACTGCTCTAGGCAACACCTACATGTAATGCTGAGCCTCCATGATTAATATAACTGATATCAAATGAATGAAAGCAGTGAGACAGGGACAGTAAGGCTGTTGAAGGAAAGGGTTAGCAAGGAATTAAAACGGGCTCTGTTTGACTCACAGCAGCTTCTAATGCACACTATGGGAAACTCACAGTGTGCAGTGAAAGCAGAGTAAGCTATTTCAGTACAGAAGAGCGGCCTCTACAACTGTGAAGGACTGAAGGTAAGGATGGTGTTCAGCTTTTAATACTTATATTCTCAGAGGTCAGGAAACCAAACTGTGTCCTGCGGAAACCCCTGTGGGGGCCAAGTGTGACTCATTCAGAAGTATTGGAAACCAGTAGTGCATGTAGCTCTGCAGGAGAGCAAAGATTTGCCACAAAGGTGGGTATTAAACATCTATGCATACCTCTATTTGCTTGCAATTTCATTTTATTTACAGTAGAAGACTAAAGCTGGCCATACATGTTCATTTTTGTTTTGTTCACAAACCGGGAGGCTGACAGCTGCACCCCTGGCTGATAGAAAACAGTGATCAGCAGCCGCAGCTACTTGGCTTCAGCCTTGGATTAGGTACATTTTTCCAACATGTCCCTTCAACAGAAGTCAGTTAACTACTTTCCACCCAGGCCAATTCTGGCATTTCTCTCCTACATGTAAAAATCATAATTTATTTGCAAAACAATTACCCAGAACCCTCAAACATTATATATATTATTTTTGCAGAGACCATAGAGAATAAAATGGGGGTTGTTGCAATTTTTTCTGTCACACATTATTTGCGCAGCACTTTTTCAAACACAATTTTTTGGGAAAAAATACACTAATGAATGTTTAATAAATAATAAATAAATGTTAAATAAGCGGTAAATGCTTTATGAGTGATTTGTTAAAAAAAAAAAACCACAATATATAAGCCACATTTAAAAAAATAAATAAATAAAAGATGTTACGACGAGTAAATAGATACCATGTCACACTTTAAAATTGTGCACACTCATGGAATGGCGCCAAACTATGGTACTTGAAAATCTCCATAGGCGAGGCTTTAAAATTTTTTACAGAGTTCCAGTTTAGAGTCTAAACTGAGAGAGGTCAAGCGCTATAATTATTGCTCTTGCTATAACGTTCACGGTGGTTCAAACGCTCTTTACATCTGTGGGCGCAACCTACGTATGCATTTGCTTCTGCATGTGAGCACGAGTTGACGGGGACACTTTAAAAATTAATTTTTCATTATTATTATTTACTTTTTTATTTTCACAATGTTTCTTCAATTTTTTTTTTCACTTTTATTCCTATTACAAGAAATGTAAAAATCCCTTGCAATAGGAATAAGGCATGACAGGTCCTCTTTATGAGAAATATGGGGTCTATAAGACCCCAGATCTCTCCTATATGCTGTAAAGCATGAGATTAAAAAAAAAAAAAAATTGATCTCAAGCTTTCCAGCAAAAAAAAAAGGCAGTGTTTACATCCACCAGTGCTGAAAGTGACGACATGACTTGGGTCATAGAGATCGCTGGGGACCATCTAGTCCATGGCCAGCTCTATCCGTTGCTGGGGGATTGGTTCTCCAGCTCCCCGTTCACATGGGGCGGATGTCCCCTCCTGCCGCCTGTAAAAGCAATCCAACAGCTAATGAGCTGCTAGGATGGCTTTTACATTGCATGGAATCGTCGGCTGAAAAAAAAGATATCAGGATGATGCTTGTAGCTGCAAGTATCTTCCAAATATCAAGGTCATATGATGTCTTGTTGGCAGAAAGTGGCTTTAAATGATGGACTTTGTTGAGCAGGAATAGTCACAAACTGAACAAAATTTGGCAGGTCTCTGCTGAAAGAGCTAAATTTCAATCAGTGTATGGCCAGCTTTATACAGTATGTTATTTTTAGCTTAAATTTGTATTTTCTCTACAAATCTAGTGGTAAAATATCTTTGTATATACTTCTAGGGCTTTCTTACAACTAGCACTGATTTAAAACTAAGCAGCCATAGTGTGGTTTTCCATTGTAGATATTGGAAGCAATCCATGAGGTATCCACTGACATGTGAAGGTACACCAGGATTAGGAATACTCTACGTTGGAAACCACTGGGGACTTGTATTGTACTTTCAGGTTTATTGTTTGAAAGTGTTAAAAAAGACAATGATATATACAGAAGTTGATAGAATTGTGCATCCAATATTTAAGGTGCATCAAGTCATCAAAGTTTTTGTATGCACTGATGACTTCCAACTATGAGGACAATGCTCTCTCATGTGGACACATTCTACCACTGCTAAATACAGACTCGAACTACCCTGACTGCAGAGGTAGAGCCTCATGACTGCAACACTTACTGGCGTCCAGGAGCAGACTGACAGCTCATGGGCCCCCGGGCATTAGGGGATCATGGGGCCCCTGTGTCCTTGCCCAAACTCAAAAAACCTATGAAAAAGGTACCAGGGGCATCTCATGGGGCCCCCTATTGACCCCGGGCCCTCGGGCAGTGCCCGAGTTTCCAAATGGTCAGTCCGCCCCTGCTCCGCTCTTGACGCTGGCTCCTGCTGTCTGACAGCTGCACTGGCCTGACAGCTCTTAAATATCTAAGGGGTGGGGACACCCAGTGAAGTCAACCGGGTGTACCCATCCCCTTGTGATCTTATCATGCTCTGTGATTGACCAAAACACTGCTTTGGCCAATAACAATGCACTGTCAGGACGCAGTGCATTTTGGGGCGTGGCGGGCGAATAGCCCGCCAAACTGCCTTACCATTTGTGTGTTCGCCAAACCTATGTTCAAATCGAACATTAAGCCCAACTCTAGTCCACATCTATGCGTTTTGCAGCTGCTGCATTTTTGTAAAGTGACTTTTGTAAAAGTAACACGGTGCATTTTTGGCTCAATAGACTTAAATGGATATGCGGAAGAAACACGTGTAGTGCGTTTTTGATAAATGTTTTATGCCTTTTGCTATTTTTTTTTCCCAATAGGAAAGTATTGACTTTGATGCCACTTTGATGCAACTTTTTACTCTCTGGCACTCAAGTAGCACTTACTGGCGTCCAGGGGCGGACTGACAACTCATGGGGCCCCCGGGCAATAGGGGATCATGGGGCCCCTGTGTCCTTGCCCAAACTCAAAAAAACCTATGAAAAAGGTACCAGGGGCATTTCATGGGGCCCCCTACTGACCCCGGGCCCTCGGGCAGTGCCCGAGTTTCCAAATGGTCAGTCCGCCCCTGCTGGCGTCATTAGGTATTTAACATAAACTTATCCTACATTAAAAAAATAATTTACTGGATTTACATTTTTCTTCAGATGCATATCTGCGTGATCGAATTTTCAGTAGTAAATTGGTGGCATCTTCTTCGTGGACAACTAATGATTTACCTGTCTGTTAATGATAAACACAAAATTATGCAAAGCAATTAAAAATACAAATTATTTTATACTGATTGATGTTTTAGATAAGCGACACAGCAAGCACAAAATGTTTCAGTGCCAACTAGAAAGCCTGAATGAAATGGCAGGTTATAGCTAGGTCTACCTTGTTGCACTACATGTGCATTTCAGCACACCACAATGTACAGGAATGCATCACCGTGCATTGCGGTCAGCTTCATTACAAAAAGAGTGAATGTGCCTTGTTTTGCTGCATTTTGATGAGTTAGGCAGCTCATTAAAATGAATGGTGCGTTTAATGCATGTGTGTTAACAAGCAATATATAATGCATTAGTGTGCATTTGTGTTAGTGCATGAAATGGACTCGCCAAATTTTTCTTTTGCAGTGCACCAAAAGGCATGATAGTGCTTTAACGTGTTTTGCAGTGTTCTGCAACCCAGGTGCATTGAAAAGGGAAAGTGTTTGGAAACCAGAAGAAAGCACAGCAATCTAATAGTTGAACTTTTCCTGGCAAATTATTTTTTTCTCTGACAGAGCTCTCCATATATGTTAACCTGTAGGCAACCTGATTATTTACCAGTCCTGCAAAGTTTGAGGTACTGGGTGATGAGGTGGGGTGTCCTAATAGCTACATATACACAACAAGTGTTCTTTCTCCATAGAACTATGTTGTCCTATGTTGCATGTCCCATTTAATGATTGATGATTGAAACTTACCTCCTTCTTTTCTCCCCATGAGAGGTTTGTCTCTGCGCTTGCTCTTTTACTGTTGTCATCCATCAGCAAAGTGGGAGGAAGTGGAATGTCAGGTTTCCTGTATGATATCAGCTCAGTTCGCAGGTTTTGGAGCTCCGTTTTTAAAGCAAACACATTATAAAGGAGTACAGCTATAAGACCTGTGAACATGAGAATGATGAAAGGTAGGCATGCTATCGATAAAATGCCTTTTGGGTAGATGTAATAGTAGTAAAAATAAATCCTTTTTCTTTCAATAACAGGAGGAAAGTAATCCTTTGCCATAATTTCTGATTTCATTGTGTAGTTTCTTCAAAGAATGAGCGTACTATGCTTCAGTCGTGTATGTTATGCCAGAAATCTTGAAGGAGAGCATACTATTTCCAATATCACGCAGCTCAATGCAAAGTTCAGAACTAGGTTCAGAAGTGTTTCACTTAAATGGTGAGTACATTTGATCATATCTGCTTTTTATATGGTCAGTTTCCTGCATTCACTTTCTAACACAATAACTCTTTGTAATCTATGTATAGTTAGCTAATATTTTGTCAGCCACAGTCATAACTTCTTCTTTTTAGGAAGGAAGTAAAGCCTTAAAAATAGAACAAGTCCATGCATGCCATGTGTGGACTGTTTTATCATTTGTGGACATACAATAATATAATAGGCGCTCATTTATCAAATATGGTGTCATAATTTTGTTTATATGCTTCAGATTCCATCTTATACCTAACTAGCCTGAACACTGTAACCCCCCCCTCCTTCTTCCCAACGCCTATGCTAACTAACTTGAGTATGAAAGATGTACACTCACTGGCCGCTTTATTAGGTACACCTTCCTAACCAGTGTGGTCTTTGGCTGCTGTAGCCCATCTGCCTCAAGGTTTGACATGTTGTGCGTTCAGAAAAGGTACTCTGCATACCTTGGCTGTAACGAGTGGTTATTTGAGTTACTCTTGCCTTTCTATCATCTCAAACCACTTTGCCCATTCTCCTCTGACCTCTGACATCAACAAGGCATTTTTGTCCACAAGAAAAAAAATTTTCAGACCATTCTGTGTAAACTCTAGAGATGGTTGTGCGTGAAAGTCCCAGTAGATCAGCAGTTTTTGAAATATCCAGACAAGCTCATCTGCCACCAACAACCATGCCATGTTCAAAGTCACTTGAATCCTCTTTCTAATGCTTGGTTTGAACTTCAGTAAGTTGTTTTCACTGCGTTTAGATGCCTAAATGCATTGAGTTGCTGCCATGTGATTGGCTGATTAGCAATTTGTGTTACCAAGCAATTGAACAGGTGTACCTAATAAAGTGGCTGGTGAGTGTATATACTTACCAATTGTCAGCCTGCTCTGGGCAGGTCACCCGATTTCCCATGTCAACCAGCGAGGCTGCATGGGAGAGGAGGGAGCACTGACAATGGATGAGCCAAAGCGCCAAACTTTACTAGCCATTGTCAGAGTGTTCTCTCTCTCTCCTGAAGCTGATGCTGGCTGACACAAAAGAGATCACGTGAGCGGACTGGAGTGGCCTGAACATAGGTAAGTATATACATCTTTCTTACACAGGTTAGTTAGCATAGATGTTAGGAGGGATGAGAGGACACTTTTACAATTCGTGAGGTTAAGCTGGAATTCCACTTTAAGAAATGAGATCCACTATGCATGAAGCACTGTACATCCTGGCTTATTTTGTTTTGAAATGTTTATAGTAAAAGAGTTAAAAAAATGTGCAAGTACAAAGATTCATCAAAGTCAGCATCTGAAAGTAGGGTACTTGTGTCATAAATGTTCATAGTCAGAGACAATTGTCAATCAAAAAAGTGCACTGACTCCAGTACCCTAAACCACAACTATACAAATAGTCGGTTTGCTTGCTCAAGGAGGGAATGTGGACAGAGTTACTATTAGCCCCCTGTCCCTAAACCAAGTGGGGGGTAGGTTATGACGAACGTTTTTACATTCTATTCAACAGTACTCAGCAGTAAGTAAGAATCCTGTTCTGTAAGCCATAGGCAGGATGAATCAACATAACCTGCAGGTAATATGAAAGAGAAAAAGGGGGGGGGGGGGAATAAAGGAGAGAGAAAAGGGAAAAATAAAATAAAAAGGGTATAGAAGAGAAATAAGAAAAATGCTCCACCTGGAACGACACCCACAGGGCAATTTCTGTCCCCAGTTCAGATAGGAGACTGTAGATACAGTATCTGAAATCAGGGGTTCCAGACTTTTTAAAATCTAGATTGTTTATCCCATTGGATACTAGCCAATTTTCATGCAGCAATATCCAGGAAATGTTTTTAGTTGGAGCAATATTTACTATTGGAGTTTTCCACTCTTTAGCAATAGACATTCTGACAGCCAGAAAAAGATAAGGAACCAACAGTGTCTAGGTATCTTGTCCGACAGGTCATTAAATTGTACGATCTTAGCATTTTTTTTAGCAATTGACGTTAGTCACCGAGTGAATAAGGGTGAATACTCTAATTCTGGACTTTTGGACAAGACCACCAAATGTGGTACATAATGCCCTCCAGCCTGCAGCCCCTGAAGCACAGAGGGGAAGCATCTGGGAAGATTCTGGCAATCCTTGATGTCACTAGCTACCAATGAGACAGTACTTTATAGTTTGCCTCAGATTATATTGATGGTATTGACGATTCCCCTGTACATCATGGAGGACCATCGGGATTAGTCCTCCTTTTCTATCTCCTTCCCCATGTCCGCTTTCCATGTCCTTTGGTAAGAAAGCTTAGGTATGGGTGTGGAAAAAAGGGAGCAGAGCACCAAGAAGCCCCCTTTTGTTTCAGGGTGCTGCTGTTCTCAAAAAGAGTTCTTGTGGTGATATCCTCCGTAGAGAGTTTGAGGGAACTCAAAAAATAAAAAATTTGAAGAAGATGAAACAATTCTGAAGGAGGCATTCCCAAACTTTGAAGGAAAAAAACTCAGAAGATTTAACCCCTTTGGGATCCAAAAAAATGCCATATCCTATTTAAGAAATTTAAGAATACTCTGACAATGTATTAAGCCTACTGACATATACAGTATTTTTGGTAGTAGCTTCAAGTTGTTATTGATTAGCAAAATTGGGGGATAGTTGGCTACGTTGCCTTTTTCCTTGTCTGGCATAGGAATCATTCAGATGTGGAATCTATTGTCAGTATTGAGAGGCACACAGTCCCGAAAGGGCATTAAAGAATTTCAGTAAATGGGATACTAGATAAGGGGCACATTTTTTATAATAAGAGGCTGAAAAGCCATTAGGGCCTGGGTTTTTTTGTTGCATTTGCCTGTTTAATCACTTCTAAAATTTCTTCCATCAAAATTTAATTAACTAAAAGTTCCTAGTGGTCTGTCAAGAGAAATGGAAGGGAAAGGTTTGCTATAAAATCATCTATTTTATCCAGCACCAGTGGCTTGGGGACCTTATAAAGTTTACAGTAATAGGAATGGAAATGATGCAAGATCACCTGGGGTTTTTGTGTAAAAGACCCATCAGGCTTCTGAACTTTGGGAATAGCCAAGCAGAGTGGTCAAGTAGAATTTTGCATATCCAGCAAAGACTCTTTTCTGCTTTTGTCGTCAAACACAAGTTAAGTTCCAGCCTAGCAGAGTCTATCTTATCTCTGAGGTCTAAGGCTGGCCATAGACGGGCCGTTTATCAGCCAAATTGTTGACCGATAAACAAAAAATTGGTCATTGCTGTCATGGATGCTGCCACCAATGCTTACAAAAAATAGCAGTTTTTCATAGATTTTCCAGCATGACCGATAAAAAGAAACGAGAAGATCCACAAAAAATGGCCGATGGCATTGCCCCACTAACAGTGTGAATATCAGCTGATTTTTAGTTCGGACGAAAAGTCGGCCGATAAACGACCTGTCTATGGCCTGTATAAGCCTGGATTTTGTTTGTGTGGCCATTAAGTCAGATAACTTGTGTTCTTTCTGTTGGATAGATTTTTTTCAGTCAAGCTGCAACCTGAATAAGATAACCCCTGACTGTGGCCTTATCAGCCGCCCAGTTAATTACAGGAGAAGCATAAGCCGGGTTGTTCTGTGCAAAGAATTCTTTAATATGGTGTTCAATATCAATACATTAAGCCTCTTGA